TCAAACAGATTTTTAGAAAGGGTGACATGTAATTGGTCCTGCCCTTTACACTAGAATTGTCGGTCTTTAACCAGAATGTACCCAGATCTGACCACAGGCCTGCAGGTACAGACAGACATCATGGAAAGAGTCAGGAGAGCAATGGAAATAGTTGTCTAGGGACTTCTGAAAAAAGATTGCAAGGATTGTGGCTCTTTACACTTGCAGCAATTTTCAAACATATAAATGAATGCTGTGGAGAAGAATAGTGTAGAAATAAGAAGAATAAGGGGAACAGTATTCTATTGTATTCATGGAGGAAAGATCAAGGAAGTAATGAGCTTAAATTGTACTACAGGTAACCAGGGAAGCACCTAAATATAGCTGATCCAACTTTGTCATAGAAGGATTGACATGCCATCTGACTAGATGTCCTGTATTCTTTATTATGTTGGCAAGACTTTTATTTGTCAGAGTTAAGTTTTCTGAAAGCTCTTTTCTCAACATGATGGGAGTTCAGTGAAAATAAAATTGGAGCACTTCTGTTTTCATTTAAAAGTAAAGGCTGCTGCTGTGTGAGATCAGGAATAATAATTTCTACACTTTTAGGCATCAGATATGATTCACAAAACTGAATTCTTGGTCATAAAGGGAAAACAGTGTCATGATGATGATTCTGAATGCAGCACTTCATTTCTGGAAAGGGTACATCATAGTTCTCTCATTTACAAGCTACATTGTCATTATTATCAGTCATTCTTGTGAATCACTGGTAGGACTCTGCTTATTTGAATACCCAGAACTCCATTGTTATTGCCCAAACCCTCTCAATCTGGTTTGACCAGAATAATTTATATGTTCCATTTTCACCAGGAAAATTATTACCTGTTTTGTTTTTTTCAAATGTTCTTTTGTATTGAAAAATGAAGCAGGCACAGTTTCAGTGAGCATGTTACAAATTTGAGACAACATGATGAATGTGTAGCATCTTCCCAAAAAAGTTCTCAGTAGAAGGAAACATGGCAATGTGTGTCCTTGGCCCCTGCCAGGGTAGCTAACCAAAGAAATGGCATTATGGGTGCAAGAAATTGGATTCAGGCACACCATGCTCATTTATTCATTCCCACCTGTTCGGTACCTTCTGGGATACCACAATAGTTAAAGGGGTACTTTTTCCATATAGTACCTTTAATTCACATTGGAGTGTGAGTCAAGGCTATTATCTTCTACTGGAAATAAAAATAGAGCTTCAGGGAAAACTCTCACATAGGGGACAGTGTTCAGAATAGTCATATATTTGTATGTGTTTGTATATGCGTATGCCAGAGACAGTGAGGGAAATGGTCTGTGAGTTATGTTCATATGGCTGGCAAAAAAAAAAAAAAAGATGACAATCAGATGAGGTTTTTTATGTCTTAAGATGAACTACCAAAATAACTGAACATCGGTTAAATTGTCACTATTGCCTCAATTAAGGGGATACTCCTCCCAAATATGTTTCCATGTGCTGACTGCTTGGATTATGACATCAAAAGATTCTATTAATTAGAAGTATATTTTATCTCATATGGGAGAATAGAAAGCATGTATTTTTAGCAAAACTAGGGCTTGTCAACCAAGCTAGAGTTTGTCAGCATTTTTTTTTTTAGCCATATAATTAGAAAAAGTGCATAAGTGAAAAATGATGAATGGATGCTACATTCATTGTTGAAATCTAACTGCCTTTGGACAAGTAGGAAAAGACGCACACACACAATTTGCCAGCACACTGGTCTTCAATAGTATACTTGTAGAATCCTAATATGTCTCCAGGCAAGCATGCATAAATTAATGTGGAAGTGTAGCATCATGTTAATAAACCCTAAGCCTACTGCTCCTGTTGAAAGGCCAGTACAGTCATGCCTATGAGTCCAAACTTTATCAAGGCAAGTAATCAAGGTAATTCAATATCATAGATTCTTTCTATGAGGAGGTATCAGTGCTTTTCCTGTTTGTGTGTGTTCTTGTGTTGCATACAAGAGCAAAGTTTTGTTGACTGTCAAACAAAATCTAGCAATCAAATCATCTGAGTTTTTGTGGACATCTCTGGATCACTGCCAAATCCCTTATTCTGAATGAAATGAGCTGCTTCAAGCTCTTCCTGATGGAGGAGCCTGAACCTCAAAAGATTCCAAAGAGTTAGAGGAGATCAGAGATGATCACTAACTAGCTGAAGTGCACAAAATCCAGAAGCTACACTGAAGAAGACAATCCCCAGGCACACAGGAAGGCTGTACTTCCCCAAATAAGCAGTTTATTTATCTATTATGCACCTTGCATTTATTGGTTGGTCACATCTTAACTGGCTGCTGTTACAACAAAACTAATGAGTTGTGGTCACTTAAGTTCTCCCTTTGTCGTTTGTCATGGGGTATCATTCAGGAGCAAACCTGTAAGTCAGAAGGGTTTCTTCAGGTTTATAGTATTTAATTTGGGTACAGGAGTACCAAAAAAGATTGAAGAAAGCAGAAACAAGTGTACTGATGATAGTATATTCAAAATGGACCTATTGTTTGGAATGTCCTTATTTACCTTTCCTCCTCCTTACCTTTCCACCCTGTTGCATCAAACCCCAGAGTGCAATGTCTCTATCACTGAAAGCGTGAAGTCCTGAGGTTTCTAGAGAGGCATCCCAATTTTTTCTGAAGAAAATGAGAATGTTGGTTTCAGTTTCCAAAACTTTTTCATAGGGAATTTAAGCTGCTAGTAGAAATTGTGTTCATAGTCTGCTGAAGATTGAGGTTTTGGCCTGATTTTCTATCTTTTTCTACTGTTTTCAACATCCAAGTGTCATGTAGCAGTGCCCTGGTTTAGAGTCCAGCTGAAAATGGGACTTGTGCAGACAGAGGTGAACTCTCTGGATTAGAGAATTATGAAGGTATGGTTCCTTTTATGAAACAAAAGGCAATTTTGATTGAGATTGTCTTTGGTGTCCTCAGGTCTGAATGTGAAAGAGCATATGGCTGCAATAATTGTAAGGTTCATTATGCAGTGGCTTTCACAGTGTAAGAAGATGGACTCAGGGGATCCTGCAAATGCCTGATTTTTCAGATGTGTTAATTACTATCAGATCCCATTGATTGCAATCAGTTGTTTGGAACTTCTAAAAGAAAAAGGAGGTCCAAAATTATTCAAAAATATGATTTCAAAGGCATAAGAAGAGGCATTGTACTGAAGAGATGAAAATATATGTGGCAACAAGATACAGATAAACACAGATATAAACCTGCCCCATCAGTCACCATACTAATTCGCATGTGGTCTGTGCTGGATGTTACAGGGCAAGAGAACAGTGATTTATATAATGATTGCTGTTGGTATGTATTTGAGACATTGGAGCTATATTATCTTTAATGATATATATTATTTTCCTGAATTAAATTTTAATTATAGAGAAGTTCATAACCTTTAATCATTTTCTAAATAATTTCTTACAAATTCAGCCTTTTAAGGTATATGTTAAGATGGGTTTTAACCCACAACATGCATAAAACCTGATAACTTTACAGAAAATAATCTTATTTGAATATACCAATACTTTGTAAGGTATATACATTCCCCAAACTATTATAAAAGCTGCAAATTTAACCAGCTCAAGAGAAGAACTTAAATTTGAATGAACATGAAGGCACATATGAAAGTTTATATATAGCTGGAGAAAATGTCATATCTTATTTTAGAAGCTAGTGGCTTAGCACCTTCCAAACTGAATTGATTATACTTTTTTTACCACCTTCTTCACCCGATATAGAATCTTATTTTTATTATTTGGTATTCCTTATTTTTCTTTAAGTGAAGTTGGCACTCTTTTTTTAAGGAGATGTGTACTGTCATTCGAAACAAACTAGTACACTGGTAAACAAACAAAAGGGAGCAAACACATTCCCACCTCAGTGATTTTGTTCTGTAATGATTTTGTGTAGTACATATCGACTACTCATACTGTTATCAGAATGAGATTTTGGAATGCATTTCTTCCTGTTCAGTCTGCAGATGCTCCCTACACCAGATGCACAACTTGAAAAATACTAACTGCTAAAAATACACGAACTGTCAGCTTTGTTTTTACTGAGAGAAACTGTAGCTTCAAGTAAGACAGATTTGTATTTAAATGCAATGCAAGAAATCTAAACTATTCATAAAGACTGGTGGCAATCTCATCAAAAGGTGCAAATAATCACATTACAGAGGCATAATTTGAGTCCAAGGTGGGGTAACATTGTCGCTGTATAGCTGACAATGTTGACATCAATTTTGGAAAAATAAAACAATAAAAAATAAAAGGCATGCTTATTAAAATAACTGATTGATATTTTCTTCTCTGTATAAAAACCTTTAAAATAGCTCTTCCTCTGTGCTTACACATTTATGGTCTCATAGCTGTAATTTTTTTTCACCTGACCTTGCAGAAAGTGTTTGTCTTAGTATACTAAATAAGCCGTGAAAGTAAAGGGATTCAAAATAAACCTTTAAAAATGGCAAGTAATGATGCTTCCTTTCCACTTAGTTCAATGTTAATTCTACTTGTCAAGAAGGCAGCAAAAATAAGCAGTGAGGAATTTGACAGATCGGTGGCAACCACACAGACTGTGCAGCTCCAGCACTTCCCATTTGTCAAAGTTGCACCCATTGATAACGTCAGAATGAGGACAGTATTTCAAAAGGCTCATTTTTTACCACACTTACACATAATCAAGAAAAAAAGTAATATGCTATAAACTGTAATAGAGACAGTTTGACAAACTGTCAGATTTTATTTTTCTGGAATAGTTATGAAATGATGTATCTTAAGCAAAGATCAAAGTTTTGTGACAGTGTTCCTGCTCATTTCTTTAATGTAAATGTGTTCCTATTAATTTCAGTGTGGGTGTGCACATATAGAGACTAATGCAGTAAGGAACTCAGGTTAAAAACAAAGACAGTTTCAGGGAATAACTTGGATAAAAGTACAGCTTTCTAAGAGCAGACTTTAAAACTCCTACCTCTCTGCAGATTCATCTGAATTTTCTTCCGTGATCATCTGCAACTCCTGTGTGGTTTTACTTGAATCTTCTTTAACACAGTTTTCCTCTGTGCTTGTTTTTGGAATATCCTCATATGATCGAAGCTGTTCAATGAGATGTTGCTGATGCCAGGTTTGAATAGATCGGTGGTGCACTGGGGTTGGACCTGGCACGGGTGCTAGTATGTTGTGGTGGACAGGACTGCTATTTTTCTTCAGCCCATTTCTGTCCCGAGCGTGGTTCTTCAACCTGTTCTGAATCGGTGTCCCTCTGTGCTCATATCCTTCCTGCTGATGGCAGCCCCCCGTGCCTGTGGAGCCTTGCGAGGGGTGACTGAACCACCTCCAGCGGAGCCTCAGGATCTGCTTCACATCAAACTCTTTCTTTCCAGATACTGACATTTTTTCAGGGAAAAGAAAAAAAAAAAAGAAAAAAGCCTATTCTTTTAGAAAGGAAACGGATTCTTTGTTATCTCTTGTGTTTCAACTCCTCTTCTTAAGAAAAGACAACAAAAGAACAAATACCGGTAGCTCTCTCCCTCTCTCTTCTGATTAATATACTGCAAGCTCTTCAAGCCGATGCTAAGCTGCTGCTAACTGTATAGGTGGGAATCCATACTGACAGGATGATGAGGTCAGACCTTAAACAAGTAAATCAGCTTAGCACAGGAAAGCAGCAACCATAACACTACCCAGCTGCTAGGCTTACACTCTCACAGTACTATAGCACAGCTCTCTAATATATAACCTAGCCTCACATGATCCTAAGGGATCCGAAGCTGCAACTTAAGATGCAGGAAAGCACATACAAATAAAGTGACAAGACTTTCTATCTCACAGGGTTTTCCATCAAGCTTGCTAATAAGCAATGCTGCATTTCACAGAAGATATATAAAGAATTCTGTATAGTCGTCTTACGCAGCTTTTTGCTAACGATTCACTGTGAAACTATCCTGTTTCCTTAAGGGGTTTGCATTTGTTTATCTTGCTGGGTAAAATTCCTACAAATGGCCTCAGTGTGGTAGCACTTACCTAAAGGAAAGAGGCAGCATTTGAATACATTGTGAAGAACTGTATGTATTTTCTCACCTACAGTTAGATTTCTGGATAAAATTAGAGGGGTATGAAAACAGAGGGAGGGAGCTCATCAAAATCAGAGATGTGCTCCCTCAATGTCTGTATCTGTGGAAAACACAGTTTCCTGGCTGAGTGCCTGTGTAAACACCCTTTGCCATCCTGCTCTTAATTTCTCACGGACCCTGAAATGAGTGTGGGGGTTTTGTGTGGTTTGGTTTTTTTGGAGGGTGGGGCTTGGGTTTTGGTTTTTTGGTTTGCCTTTTTTTTTTGTTTAGTTTTTTTTGTTTTTTCAGAAAACACCTTTCTGTTGCTAGTGTGCACTGTGACGTGTTCTCAGCAAATTTAATAGGTGATGTATATTCATTCCCATACGTTTGTTAATAGCAGGGCTGTGAGAAGTACTCCCTGTGTGTTTTGAAATAATGTACACAGAATATTTTCATATACAAACTGAAAAGAATTAAAAGGAGTTAATTATTTTTTGTTATGTTATACTCTGCACAGTTTGCTGGTGATGGTCTGTGCAAGATGGTTTCACAGTTTAATGATGACCTTTTGTAACAACCTGACATTTTCTGGAGACACAGATGGTTCAGGTACTTTTTTTCTTGCATTGCAACTATATAATATTTAATTTAATGGTTCTTTTCAATTTCAGCCTACACAGCTATGGATGTTATTCTGTTCAATTTCATAAAAGTAATAAGACCTATTGGTATCTATGTCTATTCCTCAGCATTGGCTACATGGCAGTCCGAGATCTGTTTTAAGAGGGAGTCTCAAGTTGATATAATTAGGTATGATAAAATCTTGTTGAGGTGGACAGGGAACATGGTTTCTCGCCACTATCTTAATCAGGTCATTAAGCTACCTCAGCAGCTTGGTCAGTTCCTCTTAGCAACAGCTCCAATACTTTTAATCCATATTTTTTCACAGTGTCACGAATCTTCTGTGGGTTTCCTTTCCTTAAATTCCTTTTGCAGAAGTCATCCTTTTCTCCAAGATATCACCAAAAGCACATTCCTTGAATTTCACTTGAGAAAGTACACACAGTACTTCTGTTTGTTAATAACTCCATTTCCTATTAACTCAGTACATGTCTTGGCAGATGGAAAATGTGTCTACCCAGATTTAAAACACTAAAACTGTACATTTGCTGAAGAGAGTGTCTTGCTCAAATAGTCAGCTTGGGTCAGCACAGGGTATGTGTCAAGTAGGCCATAAGTAGGTTATTTTTCACACAGCTTGTTACCATTCTGGCTAAAATGTCAGTGTGCTGTACTAGGACAGCATAAGTGATTTGATAAACCAAAACTGCAGGCCTGAAATTAGAAGAAGGTATGTGGCATAAAGCTGCACCACATTTATACATATATATGCCACATACCTGCTTTCAGTCATTTAAATCTGCCTTCTGGTGAGAGAACTAAATTCCTTTGAAACTGAAATATTACTTCTTGACAATTTCTTGATAAATAATCTGGTTTTAGGTATACGTCTGGCTGGGTTCAAATTTCAAAATGTGAAAAGATGCAAGTTTTCTGTTATTATTATTCCTAATTTGTTTGGACTTATTTAGATAAATAGCCACCATAACAGCATTATGTTTGCTTCCCACGGTTGGAAATCTCCAAAGAACAGGATTTTCTAGGGCTACAGCAAGTCTAGCCAGGGCTGCTAAGAGGGTCAGGCAGCTGCAGCCTGTGACAGATGGGGGAAGGCTGCTAGAATATGATTTGTTCAACCTTATGAAGAAAAGGCTCAGGGGCATCTTATTGCTGCCCTCAGGTACCTTGTAGGAGAGGTACAGAGTAGACAGAGCAGGCTATTTAAGGGACAACTAGTGACAGGATTACAGACAACAGACTCATGTTGGTGTATGGAAAACCTCTTCTGCCTATGAGGGTGATCAGGCAGGTGGGAAGAGCTTGCCAAGTGAGATCCCAGTTGCACTTTGTAACTGCTCTAGCTGGACGTGCTTTGGACAAGTGGTCAGAGAAGATGAGCTCCAGAGGTCCCTTCCAGCCTGTTCTGTGACAGTGTGACATGCTAGGGAGCGCTGGAGATGTTCATCTAGTGTTTATTTAGATGTTTATCTAGTAACTACAGTACTAAAACTAAACAGAGTAAAACTAATGTGGTGGTTAGTTATGAGGAAGAGATACATTTGTAGAAATCTCAACTCCACTTTGGGAGCGAAACAGCTGAAAGTTTCTGCCTGTAGTTGTGGAGGATTCCTAATTGTTCACCTCAGAGGAGGCTTGCTGGTAGTTTGAAGAAAAAGAAGTCTTTATTCCCTGAAAAAACTCTATTCAATTCAATGGGTATGAGATTTTGAGGAAGATCTCTGACCAGGTCAGGAAATCGCACTAAATATGATGGTAGGGTAGACTGACATCTAGCAGGAAATTGGGCATAATGTTAAAAGGTTTCTATAAACATGTTGAGATTCCAGATAATTTGAAAGATATATATTAATAGTAAGAGTCTAAATAGGTGTTTATACTAATCTTTAAATTACAAGTGTAAATACTTAATACAACTTTTGAATTAGTAAATTGTAGCATTACCTTTGTCAGAAGCTACCTATAAGAAGAAATTGAGAATTTTCTTTCTGTTGCAAACCATGTTTTAAATAGGCTTCAAAAATTACTTCTTGCTTCTGCTGCCTCCCATGTCCCTCTGCAGCCAAATCACTTCATAGACAGGAGCTTTGTAATGCATTTCAAAATGTCTTAATGTTAATACCTTAGTAATTTATTTATTTTAGAATTCAAGCAAGTGGAATATATTCATGCAATTATTTAAGTTTATTCTTCTCTCAAAAGAAACATCAAAAATTATTTCTTACTCCTTTTCTGTTTGCCCTGAGCTGCTAATACAGTGCATGCATGGAAAGCCTATTAGGAAAATACCTCTGTTCCCATAAGCCTAGCAGAGAATAATAAAAAGGAATCATCTAACTTTCTTGTGGAGTAATTAAGAAAAGATACTATTTGCATTCTGTGAAGCCAGGAGTATTGCAAGGACTGGGCTACTAGCAAGAGCTAATGAAGTAGATTCTTGCTGGATGCAAGGCAGACCAGAAAAATTGGGTTTTTTAATTAGATAAAAGTTAAGGATAGCTTTGGAGGAGAGGTCCTCAATGCCAAGCCAACTAGGAACAATCTGGATATGCCAAATGAGACAATCAAAAAAGCAAGATAAACACAGAAAGTTAAGAATGTTTTCTCATATTTTTTCAGGTATTTGCTGTCTATTCTGGCATTACGTTTTTCAGGAAATCATTTACAATCTCCTATCAATACTGTGTACTCTGCTGTGCTTGCATCTGGGGAAAACACATAAGATCTGTGTATGTACAGACTGTTTAACTAAAGGGCTGTGTAAAAATCCTGTATGCTGTCTACCCAAACACTGTATTCTACAGGGTCTTCATAGTTGTGTACTCAGCCTGTGTACTTCCACTACATATGAGGCCAGACAAAGAGAAGGAGTTGAATATTTTTATTACACTATTTTGAAAACAGTGCTTCATGAGAACTCCCATTAGTCCATTTTTTGTAACAGAGATATTCCAGGAAACATCTGCATAGCACAGCACCAGCATGAGCAGAAGTCAAAGTTAAATGGAAAGGAACATGACAAAAAAAACAAATAGCTATATTTAAAATCTGCAGGAAAGTTCAACTTTCTTTTAAAACAAAACTTTGTATCCCAGGAAATGCAAATGAGTTTAGGACAATCAGTTACTTTAAATAGTTCCTACTAAAGGAGACAGTGAAATGATCCACTTAAGGGGAAGTGTTAACACATTTAGATGCAATTGCTTCCTCAAATAACTGGAAACTGTACTACAGATTACAACCCACATACAAAGCAGTATGCCAAAATTGGAAAAATCACATCATTTCTACAAAATCCAAGGAAATAGAATGAGAGAGCTAAGCATGGTTTAAGTCTGATTAAGTTCTTGCTAAACAGGAAGAACATTGTCACCCTCAAAATTAAACCACAGTATCAGACTGAAATAAGAAATAGCAAATATCCACCCACAGATGACTGGAAAGGGTCTCCCTTGAACAAGGACCTGAAAGTGATGACGTTAGTGCAGCAAACGTAAGCTCAAACACATGACTTGAAAAGAGACTGGTACAGGTCAAGAAGATATAAGAGAATGGCAAAAATGTGGGTAAATGCAAAGAACTATGAAATATTTCATACTGATTTTTCTGATATTTAGTAAATTTTGAGATTTTTCTTCTTGATTTTTCAAACAGTTGTGCTCAAAAGCCAATTGTTACATTACTTATTTAATTACCTACTGATAAAATCAAGGACCACAATACAACATTGTGAAATGGAAGAGGCAGAAAAACAATAATAATAATGCGTTTATTGAGAGTGTTCTGCTGCCGTAAACAAAAATATTAAATCAGTTGCCCAAGCTAACAAGTCATTTTAACCCACCAAAATGTAACGGTTATTTGCTGTCAGGGACTGAGGCAAATGAGAGAGAAAAGATAATTGCAGACAGATTTGAATATGAAGAAAGGTGAAAAAAGGTTAGGGTGAGGATTTTCCAAAATTACTACTTATTCTGGATACTTTATTTGAGAGATCTGAGAAACAGAAATATAACACTTTCCAAAGCACAGTCATTAAGTGCTATTGTGTTGAACAGATAAATACACTGTTCAGTTTAGAGAATCTTGTCTTTCACCTTTTCCCTTCAGGTTGACTGTGACCAGATGAGCTCCAGAGGTCCTGCCAAACTCCGTCATTCTGTTAGTCTGTGATCCTTATCCTG